TGTCCTCTTCCTCTGAGTTGTGGAAGTGTGAAGGAAAATGACATATTCTCCCCTCTTTTCCCTAAAAGCAGCAGAAATTTGGCCACGCACTCTTGAATGGCGGGCTCACCTCACAGATTAGTACATAATGTGGGTGCAGCTTCCCAGGGTCCCACAAGCCATACAGGTAGTCCTTGAGTTACGACCACAATTGAGCCCAAAATTTCTGTTGCTAAGTGAAACATTGTGTCATGATTCCGACAGATGAAACTCTTCAAAGAACTTTGAGGCATTGTTTACCTTAAAGAATCTTTATTCAAGTAGCATAACATCAGCACTTATATAGTCGAAGCCAAAATCTGAATTCTCCTCCCCTGAGCACATAGTATCAAAGCACAATTCCCTCCTCTAATTAACAGTCATAAATCACATTCTTCAATTAGCTTGAAATGCAGACTTTCCCTCCAGTTGTCCAACCCACCAATTCTTATCAACTCTTATTTCATTAACCTTGGTTCACACACTAGTTACAGTATTGTTATGTCTGACTAAACTCCCATGCATATTCTTCCTCCTCCCCCCCCCCGTATCATCTAATTCTAACTCTAATTCTAAGAGTAAAACATAAGAAGGAAAATGGTTGCATCTCCATATGTTGTCAAAGCAAAAACATCCGATGTTAGCAGTGTTGACACATTAATTAAGTGAATTTTGCCCCATTTTACTTCCTTTCTTGCCACAGTTGTTAAGTGAATCATTGCAATTGTCAAGTTAGTAACACAGTTGTTAAGTGAACCTGGCTTGCCCATTGGCTTTGCTTGTCAGAAGGTCACAAAATGTAAACACATAAGACTGCAACTGTCATAGACATGCCAGTTGTCCAGCATCTGAATTTTGATCACATGACCCTGGGAATGCTACAGTGGTCTTAAGTATGAAAAACGGTCATAAGTCACTTTTTTCAGTGCCATTGTAACTTTGAACAGTCACTAAATGAACTTTTGTAAGTTGAGGATTACCTGTACTTATTTGTGGCAAAGGATGTATGCAACCCACAAACAACCAGGGTCCTTCCTTTGTGCCACAAGCAAAACTGCCAGCTGTCAGTAACAGAAAACCATACCTGAGTAGCGTTCTTCATTTCCACTGATTTATACTGAAACTTTCTGGGTTCTTCAGTTTGGGCAGCTACAACAAAACTTTGTTGGATTATATTAGCAGCAGAAGAACAAAAAAATGTAGCACACAAATTGTAGTTCAAACTAAAAAGTGTGATTTGCAGAGTTGAGGAGGGGTCACTGAAAGGCCTCAAGCTCCTGATCTCACCCTGAGCCACCCGTGACCTTCGGCTAGAACAATCCATGGAAGGAAACCTGGTCCAATTAACTGATGTCTTTCTTGCCCTGGAGTTAAGCGAAGAGATGCTGACCTCCTGCAAGAGACTGGCTGGCTTGTTCATTTGCAGCCCTGGCAAATTGCTGCTCTCGTTAATTGTCTTGAGGGGTATGTGACACAGAGAGAAGCATCATGAATTATTGGGATTAAATCAAAGGGGTGAGAGCAAGAGCATTAAAAGGTGAGCTTACCTTCTGGCTAGGAAAGTGAAGGGAGGGTGGAAGCACACTTTATTTTCTTGGTAGGGCTATCCACTTTTAGGAAGGCGTTTAATTAGAGATGCTACATTGTGGATTTTTGCACTAAGCAGGTGGTTCACCTCAATGGCCTAAATGCCCTCTTCCAACTCTTTGATTCTTTCTTCCTAAACAATTGTGATGTTGTACTAGAGAAGACCATGTGTGACGCATAATGCACCCTTTTAAAAACTGGAAAAAAGATCCACATTGAGATCTGGATCAATCTTATCTGGGAGACTTTTAACAGTTCTAGAAACAGGAGTTACGAGCTTGGCAGCACAAGGAAACAACAGCAGCAACTTAATTGCCGGCCATCAACACACCAATCAAAAACTAAAAAGCCACACAAAACCAGAGCAACAAAGATGATCAGGGGACTGGAGGCTAAAACATATAAGGAACGGTTGCTGGAATTGGGTGTGTCTAGTTTAATGAAGAGAAGGACGAGCGGGGACATGATAGCAGTATTCCAATATCTCAGGGGCTGCCACAAAGAAGAGGGAGTCAAGCTATTCTCCAAAGCACATGAAGGCAAGATAAGAAGCAACGGATGGAAACTGACCAAAGAGAGAAGCAACCTAGAACTAAGGAGAAATTCTCTGACAGTTAGAACAATTAATCAGTGGAATAACCTTCCTCCAGAAGTGGTGAATGTTCCAACACTGGAAGTTTTTAAGAAGAGACTGGACAGCCATTTGTCTGAAATGGTATAGGGTTTTGTGCCTGAGCAGGAAGTTGGACTAGATGATCTCCAAGGTCCCTTCCAACTTTATTATCATTATAGTATATACGTCCAAGTGGTATTGCTACTAGATTTATCTCAGCTTCAGTTTGGAGGCTAACTCCTGCCTGAATCCTTACCACAGGCATGTAGGACCTGAGAGCTCCAGCCACTCCCCAACATTTGGTCACCAAATTTTAATACAAGGAGGATGATCATCTCAATTGAATCTCAATTAGTATGTAAATTAAATATTTGATTCTGGGCCTGCCCTCATGGAGCTCCTGAAATGCCATCAAAAGCCAAATGGATAGAGATGCATCTACAGATTTTCTAAACACAGTATTTTAAATGCTGAGAGAGTTGGGGTCAATGCAACTGTCAAGTCTTGAGCAGGAGGTCAGTCTTGTACCAGCTGATTAAATTAGCCAGGAAGGGCAATGGCCAATTAAGCAGGTGGAAGTCATCAGTTCGGTGGGAGGAAGAGGACATTTGATGCTAACTGTCTGGATCCTTTCTATATTCCACAGCAGTGTTTTTCAACCTTGGCAATTTGAAGATGTGGGACTTCAATTCCCAGAAGTCCCCAGTCAGTATGCTCCTTTTTCATTATAAGTTACAATTCAGGACAGAAGAGTGCTAAGAATCCTGCCTAAGACCTTTGGAAAGGTTATTGTCCTGGATACTCTGATTGCTTATCTCTATGCCAAAATATAAGACTTTTTGGGGGGGTGGTCTGGAACCAATTTGTTCTTCAGTGAACACAGTAATTATATGTCCTACCTTCAATGGCAGCTGGCTAATATTTTATTTTGCCCCCAATTCAATGGATGAGTGGGAAAACTTCAGTCTAAAGTGTTCACGGTTGAAGTTACTATTAATAAATTAATTGAAATAACAGAGTAGGATGTGCCCAGATTTGCTGACAAACTGGGTGAGATACTGGAAGAAACTGAACAAGAAAATGATATTGCTAATGATTTTCATTACCCACATTATTATCGACTATAAGCCACCAAAGATCCTCAACATCAAGTTAATAATCCACACTGTCCATTAATTTATATCAAGGAAGCAGCTACGGTGTCTGCTTTGGAGAATTACTTCTCCATTCCATGAAGGCAACTTGGCTCAGCTTTATAATATATAGCAGATTGGATACAGAAAATCATCGGCATCAAATTCCATCATTCATCAGCAATCATTAACTCAATGAATATTGTCAGGATGCATATAAAGATACATGGTCAGACAGACAGCATAGCAATCTCATCCTGTCCTTGGACACAATGATAGGCTGAATTTATTATTTCTCCCACTTAAGTTTCTTGCTGCTTAAGTATTAAGTTATAACACTGCACCCATTAGATACTTATGACTCTTTGTAAATGGTACCTCCAGGATTTGGGGCAAGAGACTTGTACGATTCATAGCCAGATTCTGAACAACTGCAAAACAACACTGCTTCTGCAACAGTTCACACAGGGGCTTTTAGCTTTGAACAAAAGACATCACACACAGTGTGCTGAATGGCTGCAGAGAAAGCTATCACAATTTCCCCCTGTAAGATGTCCAACAAATAGGTTATTTACAGCTGGCGTACTCAACACCCATTAGAAGACACTGTGATATTAAAAAAATGGAATGTGCATCACCACACAACTAACACAATTATGTAATTGTGACATGAACTCTGCCCAATTGTATCATGTGCATGTTTATATCTGCATTAAATTCATTTAAAACTGACATTAATTAACCTTGATTGTTTTTCGGTGACTCAAAAAAGCTTGGTAAAGGAGAAAAACTTCCTAAAGCTTTACTGTTTAAGAGGAGACTATGAGTAATGTTGGTGAACATAATCTGACTGTGTTCAAAAAAGATGAACTCTACATGTTACCTTCATCTGGATAGACATGTAAATACGCATAGCCCATCTCAGCTTTTAAAAAGCTAAGCAAAGTTTGCTCTAGTTAGGACTTGCATGGTGTTTACCAGTGATGTCCAGGGCTATAAGTGGACTACAAATGTCATAGCATATCCCAAAAGAGGACAGTAAAAGTAAAAGCATAAAAAAGTGTATTTTTAATTGCCTTATAGTTTTTGCTGCTTTAAGAGGGAGCCAGGTTATTTTCCAAAGCACCTGAGGGCAGGATAAGAAGTAATGGATGGAAACTAATCAAGGAGAGAAGCAACTTAGAACTAAGAAGAAATTTCCTGACAGTTACACCAATTAATCAGTGAAACAACCTGCCTACAGAAGTTGTGAATGCTCAAACACTTTAAGAAGTTTTTAAGAAGAGACTGGACAACCATTTGTCTGAAATGGTATAGGATTTCCTGCCTAAGCAAGGGGTTAGACTAGAAGACCTCCAAGGTCCCTTCCAACTCTATTATTCTATTCTGTTCTGTTCATTGTATTTTGTTTACTGTTTCTTGTTGCTTTTTTAATTATGTGAGTGGCACAGTGAGACATGGATGGCTGTATAAATTTGATGGATGGATGAATGAATGAATGAATGAATGATGTTTCCTAAGAAAACTACGTGGAACGTCAGTAAAATCACACACTCTCACTAAACCTGAAATCAGAAGGAATCTGATAACATCTTTTCAAAATAACAACTTTTTAAAAAAGATATAAACTTTCATAAATTACAACTCACTTCACCAGATGCACCGGAGCAGTGTTTCTCAACCTTATCAGATTGAAGATATGTGGGTTTCAGCTTCCAGACTTCCCCAGCCAGCATCCTGAGAATTGAAGTCCACATATTTTTGGTTGTCAAGGTTAAGGAATGAGGCAATGGTGGAGAGCAGGAGGAGGGGACTGATTGATTCAGGTTACATGTGACAGATGACAAGCTCCTCATCAAATAACAATTATAATGTGTTACAAATTCATCATATTCAGAGATAGCAGGAAACGTTTTGAAGGATTGCTCAATTCTGCTAGCAAAGTTTCTTTTCTCCAAGGCGGCTATTTTGAGATCTATAATAGTGGAAAGGTTGAAAAGTTTGATATTATTATTTATTATTCCTTTGTGTTAAGTCCTGATGTCAAACGTGATTCCATTAATTCTTTTGTACAAATTTTGTCCTGTTTGTCCTTTAAAGAATCTAGAGCAATGATGGCGAACCTTTTAGAGACCGAGTGCCCAAACTGCAACCCAAAACCCACTAACCGTATATTCCGGCATATAAGGCAACTGGGCGTATAAGACGACCCCCAACTTTTGAGAAGATTTTCAGGCTTTAGAAAGTCATCTTATACGCCAGAAAATACAGTACAATATTGAATTTCTGTTTATAGATGAGCACAATAGGAGCTCCTTTGCTGCTAGAAAGCTTTGTCCTGTCAGTGCTTATTTCTGTAAAAAAAATAGGGCTGGCCACTAGGGAGCAGATTGGTTTTAAATTCAGAGAACAGCTACCCGTATATTCCTGTGTATAAGACGACCCCTGACTTTTGAGAAGATTTTCAGGCTCTAGAAAGTCGTCTTATACACCGGAAAATACGGTATGTATTGTTGGGTGCCAGGTGGGCATGGCCCATTGGGTGGGTGTGGCTGCGGTGGTAATGGCAGACTGGGTGGGACTAAAAAGTTCAATCAATCCATTCCAACTTTGTGAGAAGTTGAAATTGATTGATTGAAACTTTTTTTTTTTTGCACACAGCGGCAGAGGCCTAAAGCAAAAAATTTTTATAAAACCTAACTGAAGGCCTAGGACTGGGGTGACGGCACACGTGCCCACAGAGAGGGCTCTGTGTGCCTCCTGTGGCACGCGTGCCACAGATTCGCCACCACAGATCTAGAGGAACATTGCTAGCAGATGATACATTACAGCAGTGGTTCTCAATCTTTTTAATGCCACGACCCCCAGCCGGTCGTAAGTCGAGGACTACTCAACCAGTCGTAAGTCGAGGACTACTCAACCGGTGCAGCAGCGTTTGCAGAATGGGACTTTTGGCGGGCTCAGCAGGGCAGAGACAGCCTAGACAATTCCTATTGGCTTTTGAAAACCAATAGAATTGGACTCTATTCAAGAGAGTCTATTCTATTGGCTTTCAAAAGCCAATAGAATAAAAGGGAGTAGCACAGCTAAGGAAAAGGGGGGGGGAAATGGTGGACTGCGTTGTTTGGCGACCCCCGTGAAATGGTCGTTCGACCCCAAATGGGGTCCCGACCCACAGGTTGAGAACCACTGCATTAGAGGAAAAGCATGTGAAGATTCTCTCATTCTTGTGAGTGTACTTTTTTATTTTTCATAGAATTTAGAATTAATTATTTCATTAACTAATTAATCAAAAGTATAAAACTAAATTCATATTATCATAAGAAATAATTATAAATTACTATAAACTCTAAACTGTAATTAATGTCACCACTGTTTGTATCTAAAAGTAATGTCTATGATGTTATAAAAGAAAAAAATACAATCAGTAAAAGTAATATTAATCAGTAAAAGTGATATACTTTAAATTGGTTTCCATTGCATTACACTGGTAATCAGATCAGATCAAGTTATTTATCAACATTCAAATTACTTCTGGCTACTATCTTTACCTTTTTAAAAACCATTATCTAAGCATTTAGGATTGTGTTGTTGCATATTAGGATATGTATGAATAAATTGTGATAATTTCTATTTCTTTGTTCTGGAAAGATTCCTAGGAGAAAAAAAACCCGAGGTTTCAATTTAATTTTTTTTTAATGTTTTAAATAATACTGTATATTTCTTTCCAGTACATCTGATTTTTTTACATAACCATCACATATGCTAAAATGTGGGAGGGAGAGAGGGATAGATAGATAGATAGATAGATAGATAGATAGATAGATAGATAGATAGATAGATAGATAGATAGATAGATAGATAGATAGATAGATAGAGATCTTATATGGCTTAACTGATTCTGTATAAATGTTTCAAATTTTGTTATTTGTCTTAAAAACTCTCCTGAGGTCACTTTTTATTTTTTTCCCCTTTCTTTCTTTGAATTTTTACTTACAACAATGTAGAGGAAATTTCAGCCTTTGTCAAATAATTCTTGCTGTGACTTTGATCTATTTCTAAAGTCCAGATGCACCATTTTCGCATATGTAATGACACTTTTCTTACATTAATTGTCTTCAAAAAAAAAACATTTGAGGATGAGGCTAAAGATGAAAGTGCTAAACTTATTTTTTTTGTGGAATTCCATGTTCTTAACAAACTGTCTTATAATATGTCCTTTTAAGCCTTTATCTTATTTTGTATCCTTATACTATAAATATCCGTGAAGTCTGTTGACTAAACTTCTAATATTGACTTTCTGTTGTTTGGGGAGATTTTCCATTTTACTACTCATGACAAACAGTTGCACAGTAATATAATTTAAAATTTGGGGTTTAAAATTATGTTTTATTTATCTTTTGAAACTTCAGGATTTTTTTTCTTTTACCGTAGCGTATATTTTCCTTCAAAATAAATTTATTAAATATTCTTTGTCAGTTTCTGATTTGGGCTGTACCTTCAATCTTGTTTGTGTACCTGCTGAGCCCTGTGATGGTGCTTTTGGTGTAAATATAAACTGCCTTACCTCAGGCATCAGATCACAACTTACTACTCAGATCACAACCTACTATTTGATAAGATAGAAAAATGTGGGTTAGACAGCATCACCACCAGATGGATCAGTAGTTGGCTGATCAGCCGTACTCAGCATGTAGTTCTCAATGGAACCGCCTCTACATGGAGGGTAGCGTGTAGTGGGGTGCCCCAGGGCTCTGTTCTGGGCCCAGTGCTCTTCAACATCTTCATCAATGATTTGGACAAGGGAATAGATGGGGAACTTATCAAATTTGCAGACAACACCAACCTGGCAGGAATAGCCAACACTCCAGAAGACAGGCTTAAGATACAGGAGGATCTGGACAGACTTGAACACTGGGCGCTATGTAACAAAATGAAATTCAATGGTGAAAAAAGTAAGATTCTACATTTAGGCAAGAAAAACCAAATGTACAGGTAAAGTATAGGGGGTACCTTGCTCAATAGTAGTAACTGTGAGAGGGACCTCAGAGTCCTAGTGGACAAACACTTAAATATGAGCCAGTAGTATGCTGCAGCTGCCAAAAAGGCCAAAACAGTGCTAGGCTGCATTAATTAATAGAATCAAGATCACGTGATGTATTAATACCACTTTACAATGTCTTGGTAATGCCACACTTGGAATACTGCATCCAGTTTTGGTCACCACAATGTAAAAAAGATGTTGAGACTCTAGAAAGAGTACAGAGAAGAGCAACAAAGATGATTAGGGGACTGGATATAAGGAACAGCTGCTGGAATTGGGTATGTCTAGTTTAATGAAGAGAAGGATGAAGGGGGACATGATAGCAGTGTTCCAATATCTCAGGGGTTGCCACAAAGAAGAAGGAGTCAAGCTATTTCCCAAAGTGCCTGAAGGCAGGACAAGAAGCAATGGGTGGAAACTAATCAAGAAGCAACCCAGAACTAAGGAGAAACTTCCTGACAGTTAGAACAATTAACCAGTGGAACAACCTACCTCCAGAAGCAGTGAATGCTCCAACACTGGAAGTTTTTAAGAAGAGACTGGACAGCCATTTGTCTGAAATGGTATAGGGTTTCCTGCCTGAGCAGAGGGTTGGACTAGATGACTTCCAAGGCCCCTTCCAACTTTATTATTATTATCTCTCCACCCAAAAAATCAGAAAAAAAACCTGCATTCCTTACCCATTAGCAGTTGAGCCACATTCAACATTTACATGTGACACGTAACAGACCAATATACCTTTCAGAATATTCTCATAGTCATACACCTGCTATATGTACAGAAAGCAACTGAATCCGTCCAGCAAAAGAAGGGTCCAGGACAGGCCCTCTCTGTGCTGGTGCCCATATTCTGACATCAGGGAAGCACCTAGAGTACTATAATACTTTTAGGCATTTTTTAAAAATTCACTCCTTTACTTAGACCTTCTATATAAATGCTAGAAGAATGTTGTAGTAATGGTTTTCTCATCCCACTCTATAAATCACTTTGAGATGCTACGGTAAAAGAAATAAAGATATTTATGAGATTAAAGATACGAGACAGAGGGAGGGGTGAATGGGATGGGATTGAATGAGTTGTTAAGATTTTGAGGGACATTTATCTGCAAAAGCTGGGAGAATTGTTACAAGGACGGGATTTCCCAAATGATGAAATTGGTTAATATAAATGCACATTGTTTTCTACTCAGTATGCAATTACATTTGTTATGGGGATGCTGCTCATAATATCAAATTATTTAATAAATCATCTCTGTTCTGTGCAATGGCTTAAACCTTTAATAATCATTCCTCTTCTTTTCCTTCTGGACCTGCCGCTGTTTTGTCTGAAAACTCTGATTCATTTGGGAGATTTATCCCCAGCTGGAAAAAAATATTTTGTTTTCCCCCAGCTCATAAAAATACAGTTCGTGGATATTCCTCCTAATACAACATGGGTTAGAGGAACAGTCTACCTCATGTTTTTATTTGTGTGTTTAGGCTGCCAAAATAAATAAGTTTATAGGTAAAATATTTTGCAGAAATAGTCAGATTCCCATCCTGAGAGTCACTCACAATAGGTGGCACATTGGCAACAAATACCTATATGAAGTGACAAAGGTCTCCTTTGACCTTAAATCCATCTCTGAATCACTGAGGATTGAAAGAGTTTGTCACTTCCAATAACTTGGAGAAATTTTCCATCCCATAAATAA